CTTAGTAGCCTAGAAACGTTAATAATATTTATGATAATGAATATTTGCTTGATATTGTATGGAATATGGAAAGGTTAATCCAAGTACATTGTATGTACAATTGCTTGTGCGATCTCTTAATCAGGATGATTAGTTTCTTCAATTATCCATGGGGAAGTAGAGATAGAGGAAAGATGGGAGGTATATGTTCAAGGCGTTAATGCGTTGATACGTCCAGACATCCAGATAACCTGCAGCGTTGCTTGAAATACTAAATCAATACATTTGAAAAAAAGCTTACCTAAAAGAACTTTGAAAAGTAAAACAACACTGTGTGAAAGTACCTGTGAGTAATGCAGCTTTAAGCAGGTTTCGATCACAAGTACTTTTACAGATGTTTTGTTTTTGATTGAATGCATGAATCATGAATCAAGAACAGCGCTGTATAATGCATGGATGCGAAACATGTTGCAAACTGTAATGTTGTTGTCAGTGAACTCCCAATAAACCAGGAGAGAGTAATAACATATTGCATAGCCTAAACAACTATCAAACCTCAATGTGAATAACACAATGTGAACCCAGATTTTCTGTGACCATTTTGTTTTAGTACTGGTAACATGAGCATATATAATGTGTTCAAATATATACCCTTGATATCCGGAATGATGCACAAGGTTTTAGTTTACAAAAACATTTGAAAACTTGCAAATTTACAAATGTTTTCCCACCTAAGGAAATATTCATATTTCGAACCCAAGCAAACTTAGAAAAGAGTAGGAAATTACATCACTTATATTACAATCAATAGGAATGTATTGGGAATACTGTGTATTTCAGAGGTATATGACGGGTGTGTATATTTGGTGGTAAGACACCATAACGCCTTTCTGATCAGTGTGTCATATCTTTTGCTGGTGTAAAATAAATAAAGAAAACCAAAGTCGTAATATTTCACATTGTAAACAGAAAAAATGGCATTAACGCCTTGAACATATACTTCCCATCTTTCCTCTATCTCTACTTCCCCATGGATAATTGAAGAAACTAATCATTCTGATTAAGAGATCGCACAAGCAATTGTACATGCAATGTACTTGGATTAACCTTTCCATATTCCATACAATATCAAGCAAATATTCATTATCATAAATACACAACGTTTCTAGGCTACTATAAAGCAGCCTAGAGACGTTGTGTTGTAAATAATAAAGAAGATGTAAATCCATACCATACGTTGTTATGTTATCTTCCAAATTCTAAATGCCCATCAAGCATCCACATGTTGATCAGTTTACAGTGCAGACATTATGAAAATTTACCCATGAATAAATATAGTGATTACGATGTAGTTGTGTGGCATTTGGCATTTCACCAACACACACACACACACACACACACACACACACACACACACACACACACACACACACACACACACACACACACACACACACACACACACACACACACACACACACACACACACACACACACACACTGACGTTACCAGGAGAAACGGGGAGCTTATGGTACAAACAAAAAGTAGGTCTCTTCATTCGCTACTCGCTGTGTTGGTGAGAAAATAATCAGTTAATCCTGCTTAGGTGGATTTCATCTTGAATAGCCCCAGCCCATACAAATGCAACAAAGAAAATAACGTATATACCAACATCGGTGCGTGTACGGAACAGCTGATATTAATTAAATGCAGCTTGACAATTGGCTTCTGAGGTACGACTTATGCAGAGATCAGAAAAGATATTGGTGACATACATTCTGTTGTCAGTAATAGCATTTGGAATGCTAGATAGATATCACGAGACTGACTATGCATTTATTCATTAACCATTCTGGCAGGTTCACAAATATGTTAATTCGGTCAAAATTGATCTTCAGCAACCCATGTTGTAAGAGCGAACTAATGTGATCGGGTGGTCGTTTTCACCTACTTGTTTGATGCATGCCATCGTATCCCACTTGTGAAGATTGATGCTCATAGTGTCATGACCATGCTATGTGTAACTCTTTTGTGTATATCATTACATATTACTAAAACCAAGGTATGCATATTTTTATGAACGTTACAGTAGAAGCAAGATGTTTATATGAATATTGTCTAGGAATTTCTTTTTGAGTTGTCCACAAAACTAGGCACTTAATGTTTTGTATTTAAAGCAGTACGTTTCTTTCGTAATAGATCTTCATCAAATATTCCTCTGTTCCTCTGTGATAAGGTTGCAAATAAGTTAAGACTAAATCGTTTCCGTGGACCTTCTTCAACATATCTGTGCATATAAACGCCAATGTACAGGAAGGAGTAGCTGCAAGAGGTTGAACCTGTTGTGTGCTTCGGCATGTGGATGTGGACATGAAACATGTTCCCGTGAAATTGACAATGTTGATATTGACTAACTTGTCAACTGGGAATACACTATGACTATTAAGAACAATAAATACGAATTGATATGAAGGTAATGTTGCTTGTGTTATGATGACATGACTGTGTGTATATTTGGTGGTAAGATACCATAACGCCTTTCTGATGAGTGTGTCATATCTTTTACAATGTATCAATGATTGCCAGTGTAAAATAAAGAAAGAAAGCCAAAGTCGTAATATTTCACATTGTAAACAGAAAAAATGGAACACCATAATGTCAATTGTAAACCTTCCATTAGGATGTCATGTTATTATCCATCAGCTTTAAGGGTTTCACGGCATGTCAGTGCAATACTGACACTTATCTCCTTCTGACATCAGCTGAATTGTTGTTTCTGCTAGAATGTCAATAAACGCAAATTTGTATGATAGTTCAATAGTATCTTCGACATATTTAGTATTGTTGATACTTTGTAAAGCATGGAGCTGAAATTATCTTATGTTTTGCTGATCTAAATACAAAGTACCAACCTTCATTTCCTTGTAATGGTTTTTCATGAATACGATGCCAACCAAAGGTTTATATGATCTTCAAATGATATAGCTGAATCAGAAACACATGATTTGGGAAAACTACCTTTAATTTGTAAAGTTCAACTCACATTTTTTCATCAAATGCCCTTTCTATTGAAATTGACCTTTGACCTTACCAAACTATTTTTGCGATGAACATATATGTAATATTATTGTCCACAATTTTAAATCATGGTCTGATCATTCCAAAACTATTTGTGTTATGAAAATCGTTCAAACCAAACCAGAGTTATTAAATTAAACCATCCAGTTATCGGTTAAAATATTGCCATAACTGACATGACATGTTGCACCTTAACAGGGCCTCTGTACGGTAGTCACGCACGGTAGCTGATGACAACCGGCTTTAAATCAAAGCCAAATCATTCCTGATTGTGAAAAATCACATTCCATTCGGTCGCCAGAACTGCACCACATTTTCACCATTTGGGGGGTCTGGCTTCTAGACCAGTGCCTGATGGCTGGTGTTTGTCAGTGTTTAACCTGTCACCAAGCAGTGCCTCATGGCTGGTGATTGTTGGTGTCTAACCTGTCACCAAGCAATGACTGATGGTTGGTGTTTGTTGGTGTCTAACCTGTCACGAAGCACCCCCTGATGGCCGGTATTTGTTGCTCTCTAACCTGTCACCAAGCAGTGCCTGATGGCAGATGTTTGTTGGTGTCTAACCTGCCACGAAACAGTGCCTGATGGCTGGTGTTTGTTGGTGCGTAACCTGCCACCAAGCACCCCCGATGACCGGTATTTGTTGGTGTCTAACCTGCCACCAAGCAGTGCCTGGTGGTTGGTGTTTGTTGGTTTCTAACCTGTCACCAAGCAGTGGCTGATGGCTGGTGTTTGCCGGTGCCTAACCTGCCACAAAGCAGTGCCTGATAGCTGGTGTTTGTTGGTGTGTAACCTGCGACCCAGCAGTGCCTCATGGCTGGTGTTTGTTGGTGTCTAACCTGCCACCAAGCAGTGCCTGATGGCTGGTGTTTGTTGGTGTCTAACCTGCCACCAAGCAGTTCCTGATGACTGGTGTTTTTTGGTGTCTAACCTGTCACCAAGCAGTTCCTGATGGCTGGGGTTTGTTGGTGTCTAACCTGCCACCAAGCAGTTCCTGATGGCTGGTGTTTTTTGGTGTCTAACCTGTCACCAAGCAGTTCCTGATGGCTGGGGTTTGTTGGTGTCTAACCTGCCACCAAGCAGTGCCTGATGGCTGGTGTTTGTTGGTGTCTAACCTGCCACCAAGCAGTTCCGGATGGTTGGTGTTTGTTAGTGTCTAACCTGTCACCAAGCAGTGCCTGATGGCTGGTGTTTGTTGGTGTCTAACCTTCCACTAAGCAGTGCCTGATGGGTAGTGTTTGTTGGTGTCTAACCTGTCACCAAGCAGTTCATAATGGCTGGTGTTTGCTGGTGTCTAACAAGCGGTGCCATGGCCAAGCAGTTCATAATGTGCCTGATTGCTGGTTTTTGTTGTTGTCTAACCTGTCACCAAGCAGTGCCTAATTGCTGGTGTTTGTTGGTGCCTAATCTGTCACCAAGCAGTTCCTGATGGTTGGAGTTTGTTGGTGTCTAACCTGTCACCAAGCAGTGCCTAATGGTTGGTGTTTGTTGGTGTCTAACCTGTCACCAAGCAGTGCCTGATGGCTGGTGTGTGTTGGTGTCTAACCTGTCACCAAGCATTGTCCGATGGTTGGTGTTTGTTGGTGTCTTATCTGTCACTCCCACAAAGGAATGCTTGATGGTTGGTGTTTGTTGGTGTCTAACCTGTCACCAAGCAGTGCCTGATGGCTGGGGTTTGTTGGTGTATATCGCTGTTCATAGTGTACATGTGTTATATATACGCTTTATGGCTGACGTCATATATCTGCAATATCCAGGACAGCGACATAAACAGAGTTTGAATTCTGTCAGCACTATAAGTGTTCACGAAACGGTATCGTCAGTACCTTCGTCTATTCCACCAAATCCAGCGAAAGAAGAGAATTCTTTTCAATGTACTGTTCAAGAGAAATGCTGTGTGTGGCAGTGTTAAGCTTCAGTTTACACATTGCTTATTTTGCAG